TACACCAATAGTTTATTATATTTATTCCATTAATGTGATGAGTGAGGAATATATCAGTGAATGATAAAACAAATATTCAATTCTTTTTTCTGTGAATACCCGTGACACTTTCACAAGATGATAATCCACTAGTGATAATCCACTTCGTGGAACATCACTTGTGAAAGTTACTCACGTGGCGGGTTTTCACCTCAATAGAATTAAATATTTGTCTAATATTGGACCAAGGGCAGGAGTCCCAAGGTCCAATATTTCACTATGTTGCCCGCTGAAATGAGGCTACCTTTCGCTCAGGGTTGAAATAGTAAGAACGGTCTGCCACTGAACGAAATTCATACGCACCGAAAGATATCTAATTTCGCTGGGAACCTTACCGGGCTGAAATATCCATTTTGCACCCTGGGTATAGTCTGTCACGTGACTTCATGGATGACGTGTGCGCGAGTGATTCGCATTTTCTTTCGCTTGAGGTTTGTAATCACACTTTTTACATGTTTTAAGATTTTGTATCTCTGTGAAACTTGTCCCGTACCATCAATGTCTGAAGACGATCTAATTCACCAAATATTTCATCCAAGCGTGTCCCGGTTAAAGAGAAATTCGCACTTTTGTGTCTCGCAAAATGACGTGTGCGCGAGTAAATCGAATTTTACGAAGGATGGGTGCGCGAGTCTAAAATATTTTTATTCACTTGAGACAATTCTGCAAGCTAATTCTGCAAGCTAAGGCAGAATACAACTCACGTGACATTTGTTTTTGTCATCTTAAAGTAGTATGTTAAAGAATAGTTTGCTATTTTGTAGATGTTTCATGTATGGCACATATATGTCTACGTTTAATGACAATAAATGTTTTGAAATAGCTTGTAGGGCTGTCCGGCATTGCAGGTGAATTAAAATTTGAACCAAAAATTGAATTAAATTTTTGGAGGTCTCATAAAACCGGCAGCATATTCATTTATTGACATCCCGTACAAGGGGGGGGGGTCAGAGTTGTTATGTGGTTACTCGGCATCCGCCACGATCAGAACCATGTAAGGAATAGTAAGGGGAAGCCCATGATACCAAGTAATATCAAATAATTATAGGAGCTTCTAACTTCTTCCGCATCCCCACCCTTGGTATACGGAGCTGACGAAATGGACCGGTATGCGTCAAAAGCTGGACCTGTACGGGTGAACTTTGGGGGTACTTAAAATCATTCGGAGGGATCATATATTTCAACTTAGATACGAAGAAGTCAATATTGAGCAAGTTATAGCTGTTTTAAATTCAAATAAAACCGTTAACCCGTACCGGTCCAGCTTTTGACCCGTACCGATCCATTTTGTCAGCTGCGTATACCAAGGGTGGGGATGCGGAAGAAGTTAGACGCTACTATAATTATTTGATATTACTTGGTATCATGGGCTTCCCCTTACTATTCCTTACATGGTTCTGATCGTGGCGGATGCCGATTAACCACATAACAACTCTGACCCCCCCCCCTTGTATGGGATGTCAATAAATGAATATGCTGCCGGTTTTATGAGACCGCCAAAAATTTAATTCAATTTCTGGTTCAAATTTTAATTCACCTGCAATGCCGGACAGCCCTACAAGCTATTTCAAAACATTTATTGTCATTAAACGTAGACATGTATGTGCCATACATGAAACATCTACAAAATAGCAAACTATTCTTTAACATACTACTTTAAGATGACAAAAACAAATGTCACGTGAGTTGTATTCTGCCTTAGCTTGCAGAATTGTCTCAAGTGAATAAAAATATTTTAGACTCGCGCACCCATCCTTCGTAAAATTCGATTTACTCGCGCACACGTCATTTTGCGAGACACAAAAGTGCGAATTTCTCTTTAACCGGGATACGCTTGGATGAAATATTTGGTGAATTAGATCGTCTTCAGACATTGATGGTACGGGACAAGTTTCACAGAGATACAAAATCTTAAAACATGTAAAAAGTGTGATTACAAACCTCAAGTGAAAGAAAATGCGAATCACTCGCGCACACGTCATCCATGAAGTCACGTGACAGACTATACCCAGGGTGTTTTGGCACGCCACTAAGCCAATCTACACTACGGCCCGCCACTATCGACGTCACCTATTGCTCAGGACAATATAGTAAAATATAAGCCTAAAACTAGTACCCATATCCTTAGAACAGGCCCGGCTAGATGGTAATAATACATGTTTGAAAGATGAAAGATGTTATGGGTAGCAGAATACCATTGGCCCACGTGCTATAACTTGTTCATGTTTGGCGATTTTCAAAAAAATCTTTGACAGTGAAATATGTCTGTTATTATAGAAACATCAACTCATAATTCCGAAGCACTAGTAGTAGTGGAAATGCGAATAATGAGTTGCATTAGATGACACCTTCAACGTCAAAGTTGCAACAGACTGTATCATAAATTGACATAAGTGGGAGTGATACATCCGCAATGGTATCAGGTTTCTTACGTAATCTCTTCAGACATAGAAATACACCGACACTTGCTATATTCCATTGTGAAATCAGAAGTAATATTATGTTAGGTTAAAATATGTTTAAAAAATACTGTAATACCTCACCATGTACATGTAATACAAACATAAATCTTAAGATTTAGGACAACAATTAAAAAAAGCCCAGTAAGGTCAGTTTGGTAGCTATTTCTTTTGTTGCCCAAACTACGTGGGTCGTGTGGAGGGGCAAATTTTAAGAGCCCAATATTTTTTGGGCCCCGATGTCTGGGAGGTGCATTGTAGTGATTATTAAAGCTAATTGCATTGTAGTGATTATTAAAGCCAATTGCATTGTAGTAATTATTAAAGCCAATTGCAGTGTCACCAGCTCAACATAAATCTCTGAACTTTTAAATCATAAGTTCTAAGGACCTAAAGTTAAAGCCATGAGATGAATTTTCATTTATTGTGTGATAAAATCATATTTCTAATCATTACCGTTAATACTAAAAGCAATAATAATATAATAATTTACAATTATCACCCAGTGCGTTATTTGAAATAATCTGATTAATAACTCGAATAATGAAATCATATCCCATCAGACATGTCATCTAGATATTCAGATAGAGAATCCTCGCTTAGCTGCTAACTCTGATGAATGTTTCAACAAGGACCGATTCGTTATTCCTTAGAATTAAAGTAGGAAGATGATAAGGCTATGAAGCGAGCTAGAAACGAGTGGATCAGTTCAGGTAGGCCTCGTGGTTTTCAACACGAAACATACCGTTTATATAAATTCCAGAAACGCAATTTTTCTAGGCGCTTGAAACAACTTAAATTTGAATATGACCAAGAACAATTGCAAAGCTTACAAGATGCTGCAGAAGTCGATAGTGGTTTGTTCTATAGATTGGTCAAGCGATATGGCAAGCAACCTACTCCGAATGTTGGCCATGAACTCAAAATCGATGGCAAGATAATTCGTGATCCCGCAGAAATTCGTAACGCATGGGCTGATCATTATGAATCTCTGGGTCGAGAATCCACCTTTCCACATTTTGATCACGCACACAAAGCGGAAATAGATTCTCAATTTCCTGCGATGCTTGCTCAATCATTTCAATCAAATGACGGTATTTTTGAGACGCTAATTGATAATGACGAAGTCTTGCATAGCATCAACACATTTAAAAATGATAAAGCACCGGGACACGACTTAGTCGTCATCGAGCATCTAAAACATAGTAATAGGCTAGTCATCGATTTCTTGACCAGAATTTACAATGCTATTGTCAAAGTTGAGAAAATCCCTTTAACTTTCAAATTGGGCATTATGTTATCTCTGTTCAAAGGTAAAGGCAAAGACTCGACTGACAGGGATAATTACAGGGGCTTAACCTTGTCCTCCTGTCTGTACAAAATATGGGAAAGAATTCTCAGCATCCGAATGATCCCTAAACTAAAAATCAAAGGCTGCCCCAACGCTTTACAATTTGCCTATCAAGAGGGAAGTAGTAGTCAGTTCGCACTCTTCGCTCTCAAAGAGATCATACTTCACTACAAGGAACGTGACTCTATGGTATTTTCGGCATTTCTTGACAATCGCAAATGTTTTGATTTATTGTGGAGGAAAGGGTTATTTCAGAAAATATTCTCACTCGGTATCAATGGAGTAACATGGAGGCTAATCGTAGAAAGTTATACTAATACCACTGCACGTGTATTATACAATGGCTCATTTTCCCGGGAATTTAGTATTTATCAGGGAGTTGGACAGGGAAGAGTGACTAGTTCGATTTATTTTTTGATCTATATTGACGCACTCATAACTGAGCTTAAGGAAGCGCATTCAGGTCTTAAGATAGGTTCGTATGATATTCCGTGTATTTTAGTGGCAGACGATACTACTCTTCTAGCTTCCTCTGCGCATAATTTGCAAGTTCTGTTAGACATTGTATTTCGCTACAGTTCAAAATGGCGTATGGTTTACCACGCTGGTGATAACACTAAAAGCTCAATTTTGACATTTAATGAAACAAAGCAACAGTTTTTTCGAAGCAGAGGTAGTCGTCAGTGGCTACTAGGGACTGATATAGTACCTGAAACTCAAAGCACAAACTATGTAGGTAACCTTATCACTACTAACTTTGAAACCGAAAATCTGGTTAACAACTCAAAAAAGAAAATGTACTCAAAATTTTATTCGATCAAAAACACCTTGCGTTTACATAAATTTGGCGCTAATCCACTTGTGTTCATTAGACTATGGTATTCTATTATATTACCCACTGCATTATATGGTTGTGAGTTATGGTACAACTTGTCACCGCATGATGAAGATATACTGAACACTGCTCGAAAACATATATTCAAAGTAGTTCAAGGTTTTGAAGCGAGAACGGCATCAGACGTTGTTCTGGCCACTCTTGGTGCAATATCTGTATCGAGCTTCATTGAGAAATTGAAATTAAACTTTTTGTCAAGATTATGTCGATGCAATCATGAAGTTACAAAATACATATTCCTGTTTAGATTCTCGTCCCTACTCACAAACCCGGGAAACAATCACTTTGGTTTTGCTAAAGACGTCATGAGCATCGACTGTGATATTGCACGGAGTGTTGCAGAAACCTTCTTGCTTACCGGCTCAATTATGAAAACAGTTTTGTTTAAAAAAGCATCGCATTTCCAAATTTTCAACAGAGAGGAAAATAAGTGGCTTTCAAGAATGGAAGCCAATGATAATCTGCATATTTTTAGGAACATTCACTGTAAACTGGAACCAAGCTTCGCCTGGGTCGTTGGAAAACGATACCCATCATATCTATGGCAATTAGCCAACCTGGTGCAGCTTTCTGCAATGCCTTCATATAAGACATTCACATGTAAGAAATGCAACTCATCGTGTAATTGTATAATATTTCATTTTCTGCATTGCAATCAATTTTTATCTGAGAGAGACGCATTTTTTGAGCGACTCATTGATATCTTACCAGTTCAAGATAGTGTTATGCTTTTCAATTTTGATGATGATATTTTCTTACAGACTGTTCTGGGTAGCAGAATAGATTTTGATGTAGCCAATGACACCATTTATGAAATGTTCGTTATCGAATGTGCAAATACATTTTACAATATAAATATGTATTTCAAATAGGTACGCTTGAATTGTAATGATAAAATGTATTTAGAGTCATTTAACTTGTAAATATGTAAATATTAATAACCCTTTACTCTTCTGTAATATATGTTTGTAATGTGATATGCATGTATAAATTGTTTTGCTCTCCAATAAAACGGAGGAAATAAAGAAACATAAACATAAACATAAACTAATAAATAACAATTGTTTGATACACTTCCATAAACAAACCAGACAGCTTTACTTTGACTTTAACACTACTTTTTATATGCAAACATTTATATAAGACAGGTTCCATGACTTGAAAATAGCTCCAAAGAAATCGTAATACTATTCTAGTATTAAAATAATATGGGAGAGGGCCACATTTAGAAAAATTATTTTATGTAAGTATAATATTTCTGGCAAAAACACAAAATAAATAGGTCGCCATTTATTCAAAAAGTCGACATTATTTCTATCGCAGGAACTGCGAAAATGTTGCACAAACAAATATAACTCGGTTTGAGTGGGACATTACCGTTTCAAAAAAATGTGTTGCCTTTCAATGTTTGACTTTGATTAACGTACGTTTGTGAAGCTCCAAGTATTCTTGGCTACCCAAGTGTTCCGACTCTTACCGAAGTATTCTGACTCTTACCCAAGTATTCCGACTCTTACCGAAGTATTCCGACTTGACCAAAGTGTTCTGAGTTTACTCATTTTGTCAAATACTCTCATACTTATCCCTCGGGACCTACGGCCCTCGGGCAGATATATTATATTCGCTTCGGGATAATTCCAATATCCCTAACCTCATATAGGATAATCTCTATACATGTAGAACGTGAAGTTACAGCTCTAGAATCATCTAAAGGTGTTGATAGTTCTACTTTGCTCATTCTGTCAGTAACTGAGCCATCGACTTGCCTGTTTTTGTTGATAAGTCAGTCGTCTTAGACATTCAATCCACTGTTTTTGCTTTCGGTTAAATTAAATCATGGCATTGTATTGAATTTTATTTCATCGTATTCATATCGTTTCATTTTCTATTCTATTATGTCGCGTTTTATGTGTTATTATGTAATTTATTACATCGTATTGTATTTAGCTTCCCTTTTCAAACAGATGGAATGATTCAGAACTCAAACAATCCATTTGGACATCAATAGAGGCGTAGTAAGGATACAAATAGAGGTGGACGTAAATTGAAAAGGCTGAGCCAAAAGTTGAGAATAAAGGCCAGATGATATTAGATTATTTTTATGGTTTCAACTGAAAAAATGCCTGCATCAATATATTTCTGCAACATTTAGACGCAACCCCATGTTCAAATTAGATTTTACTTAGTTTGTGGCCAACAACCTTAAATTCGACTTTGCAGGAAAGACAACTATAAATCATGAAAATTGTCTGTATAAGTAAAATATTTACTACAAGATGATAGAAAAGCATTTACAAAAGTACTTTCTTTATATCAAATTACGTTCACATATATTTCAAAAATCCCATTTGTTAGCTGAAGGGCTGAGGGCTCGAGTGCCTTGAGTATAATAGTGTCAGAACTCAAGATGGGCAATCCAATACTACAAACTTAGATCTCAGAATGTTTATAAAACATCTCATTTAGAGCATTCCCTGGTCATATCTTCCGAGGATCGCCCAAGTTGATGGGCTCCTATATTGAAGTTATATGTTCTCGTTACATTGACTCGCGTAAATGTTTGCTTCACCGGTCCAGATATCACGACTGTCATTTTGTAATACTTTCAATAATGAGTTGAAATGGAGAGTTGGGAGAATAATGTTATATTTTAGTTTAATTACGCATGAGCTCTAAGATATGTTAGAATTCAAAATCATTAGTTATATGACCATAACCTCAAAGCTTCGTATGATATATCTATATTATGATCATACACTCCCCTCCATAAGTTTGGCAACCTTTTTTCTCCATTGAACTACGTGTTAAAGCCTCTTTACGTTTGAATTTTTATTTACTTAACCGGCAATGAAATAACTTATAATATTGATGAAAACGTAACTTGACTTTATTTCCAATACCTCCAAATTTTTTCATTTTTTTTCCTCAATTACAATAGGTCGAAAATTGATGATAAATTTGATGAATTTTTGAAAATCGTCATTCCCATGTTATCCAATGGGAAATGGAGGGTTCGGGGCAAATCAGAAATCAGGATATCTTTTCAGTAAAAGATTCAGCAAAAAATATTTTGATATAGAAAATTGAATTGTCTAACTTTTTGGAACACAAGTGTTTAGTTTATTTGATGAATATTAAAGTTACAGCGCTTCAAAGTCATTTTTGAAAATAATTTTTCGCCTCCTGTGTTATTTCAATGGGAGAGGTTTTTTGAAAAACAATTTTGACTTTAAAGCCCTATAACTTTGTTGAACCTGAAGAAACATATCAATTTTTTGTTAAATAAAGTTAGCAAATTCAATTACCTGCCTAACTCGTATTTTTGCAAGGACTCGGATGGATGGATATTCTGTCATATGACTTGCGGCAAACCTACCATTTCCCATTGGTTAACATGGGAATGTCGATTTTCAAAAATTCATCAAATTCATCATCAATGATCGACCTACTTTAATTGATGAAAAAAATTGAGAAAATTTAGAGGTATTGGAATTAAAGTCAAATTACGTTTCCATCAATAGTATAAGTATTTTCATCGCAGGTTAAGTAAATAAAAATTCAAAGGAAAAGAGGCTTTAACACGTAGTTCAATGGGGGAAAAAAGGTTGCCAAACTTATGGAGGGGAGTGTACTTCGTATGTTTGTATCTTATCGTGTTTCACTCGTAATTATGATACCCATTTACGTGGAGAGATTCCACCTTATAAATCTAGATTATAGTACATCTTCCAATCAGTCGAACGATCCCTTTTCATTCCATTTAATGACAATGGCTTACGGCAGATATTTGGTAAGACACAAATAAGACATTTCGGCAAAACGATTGACGTGATATGGGAAAAATTGATAAGGCTGGCTACAAAAAATAAATTGAATTTCGATCCATCTATAACATACACCATCCGGTAGGTTAAGACACTCGTACAAAAAATCAAGTTAACGAAAACATTGCAATCTCGTGCAATACCACATTGATTCAAATTAAATCCAAAATTGCCAAGGTTATACTGACCTCTACTTGTGCGATTTGCAACAATGGTGTTCCAAAACATAAAGGCGTTGTAACATCAAAAAAGAGTTTTAGTAGTGAAAAGAGAGGTTTGGAAATATACTGCGCTCTGAATCTGATTAGTCGGAAATAAATCTCAAAAAATCTTCAAGATGTTGTCTTAAAGTTGTATAATTCTTCAATGAATCGACTCGATATATTCATCCCTTGTTTTATAATTGGATCATTGATTTTACTGGTAAGTTTGTTTCTTTAACTTTATTGCTTCTCAGACATCTAAGGTCACGACCGCCATCAGTGCTATCAAATGACTGCACAGACTGATTTAGAAGAACACAGATTCAAAAATACGTACACATATCTTTAGAAATAGCTGTACTATGGTCATATGTTAAGGTTCTGAACATCTCAGATTCTCCAGGTAAACGTTTCAAAACGTTAATTTCGAAACGTTTTCATAATTTTCGGTTCCGTTATTTCGAGATGAGTTCACGTCAACAATGACAATTATAGTCAAATAAGGAAAGTAAATTGTGTAAATATGACGCAACTCGATGACAGGCGTTATCAACTTGAAAACGTTTCCATCCAGATTTTGTTTAACCCAGGGGCCGGTGTAAAAGAAATTATGGTCCCCTGGGGATTGAGGTCCCCTTTCCTTACGGCACTTACTGGTCCTGACTGTGTATAAATAATAAGGAAAATAGTTGTAATTAGGTCACCATATAAATCAATAGAGAGTAGGACCAACATTTGATAGGACCACCTACCCTTTTACACCGGGTTTAACCCAGGACCCCACAGTTCAAAGATGACCTACGCTTACTAGTAATGTTAACCTGTATTGAGATGACATACGTCTCTGATTGGTCAAAATCGACAAACAAAATGGCGGCCTCAAAATTTTTGAAATACGCTTCGAATAATATTATGTTCATTTCTGGCGCGTTAATCAATACAATAGCTTCTTATTTCATATCAAGATAAAGAAAGGTGGGCGGAATGTGCCTACATCAATGGAAACATAACACCAGAAGGTGCCCTTAAGGGTTACCTCATAAATGACAGACAATGAGAACATCAGACAAAATTGTGGTTGATTTATGTTTTGCTGTCCAATATTTTGTATCCTCCAAACATTAAGATTTCATCAATGCACATAAATGATTTAAATCAATTATTTTCAGAAATTAGACTAATCCAATGTAGTATTTGAATGATTGTTATATAAATTCTCAATTATATCGAATTTGTTAGTGAATTGAATATGTTGAGCATGTGTTGGAGGATACAAAACATATGGACATTATAAAACGTGTTCTTTTTTAATGAGTATGACATATCAAACAACCCCTTTTGAGAGATGGTCGGAAACATATCTTATTAACCAGTTAGAAAATATCGGCGGATTTGATCCATAATTTGTTATGTTGTTCGAGTTTCCATATCAAAGGGAGCACGTAGGTTATGGCAAACAATTTCAGAAGGTTATATCTTGGATTATGACTATTTTCTGACAATGGAGATAGGTTTATCTTTTAGATCAATTCATTATCTCAAAGAAAATTATATACAGTAATAATAAAGTCAAACAAACTCGGAGATATTTAACTCAAAGGTGTTGACCCCATTTTCACCAAAATGCAATCATTTTTTACAATGTTTAATGCATTACTATTCTCTATTTTGATGTATCAAATAGTTCTTGAAAGAAAAACTTAATTGCTTTAAGATAAGTGTTGCCTATGTTATTTCTCCATTAAAAAATCTCATGCTATTCATTGGTTTCAGTTCATTTTGGTCATCCAAATTCAGTATCTTTAAAGTCCCTGGAGAAATCAACTTTTCCTTTTAGGAAATCGAACATGTATCAAAGCACATTCTAATTATGCATTCAACAACATAATAAAAGGTTGCATTTTTGGTGAAAATTAGGTCAACATTTTTGAAAAAGTATGTTGATTGGTCCATTGCCCCTTCAATATCACTTAGGTCTGATTAACTAAATTATCAATATATATACTTTTCTTGAAGATAATGAATGGATCTAAAAGATACACCCATGTTCATGATCAGAAAATATTCGTAATTCAAGTTAGACTCGTTTGAATTGTTTGCGATAACCTAAATGCTCCTTTGATTTTTGTCAAAAAATCACCATTTTAAAGCTGTTTTTAAGAAATAATAGGCAATATTTTCAATATATATCGCATGGTCATGGTAAACAGTTGTCTTGACATTACGATAGCACACATCTAATGTCGTTGATATCAATACGCATGGCGCAGTGTGTGATAGAATAGCAGAATTCATGGAATTTAGAAAATATCAATTATCGTAAATTTGCCCTATGGCACAACATTTTTCAAAAGATTTCAAAAGCGGTTGTATTTACGGATACCACGTAAGTGTTTGACGTTACTTAGAACAATGTCGTCTTATCTTTCAAGTGTAACAAAGAACCAGTTAAATGTACAAGTATACTTACTCTGTATTGAAGCCTTGACAGAATCCCTGTGTGATGAGATACCAAGAGAAGAAAGGAAGCCAACACAGGATAAATCCTCCCATGATCATACCAAGTGTCTTCGCGGCTTTGTGTTCACGTTTAAGTCTCTTTCTTTCTTGTTTGGTATCACGTGCTATAGCATTAATCGCGAGACGCTGTGGGCTGGACGGGTCGTTACCGTTAGTATGAGATACTGCAACTTTGTTGTTGTTGATACCATTTCTATGTGGTTCACCAAATGAACTGGACGTACTACTTGGATTATCAACAGAGTTTCTAGCGTTCATTGCCATGGTATGAATTCGCTTTTCTTGGACACGGGCTTCCCTGAATATGCGTATGTAAGTGAATACCATGATGGTTGCTGGGATCCAAAATGAGACAGAAGATGAGATGACGGCGTATGGCGTATTTACAATCAAGTCACACGTTTTTGCGGTATAGTTCCCATTGAGTCTGCGTTCTCTGGTGCAGTCATCGGTATAGAGTTGAGTGTGAATAGGGACAAAGGCAAGAAGAGCACTAAGAAGCCATGCAAGAACAATCATTATAATAACCCTGTGTTTGGTCATACTACTGACATACTGGTAAGGGTACATAATTGCCATGTATCTGTCAATGCTGATACAGCATAAATGTAGTATTGAAGCCGTACTAAATAAAATATCATTGGCTTGTATGATATCACACATTACAGCTCCCATATACCATTGTCCGGTGATATCTTTAATCGCTGAAAACGGCGTCACGGTCGCCGACACTAACAAGTCTGCAAATGCAAGCGATACAATAAATCTATTTGCCATACTCCGCAATCGTTCGAACTTGAAAACGCTTAGTATTACTAATCCATTCCCTAAAGTTCCGGCGACTATGATGAACACCATGGGTATCGTAATCAATATTGTCACTGCTATATGGCGACCCCCTGTTCCCGGGGGCTCATCCCCGATGGAGGGACATTCAGTTGAGGAATATTGCGTCATATCAGTAGTATTATACTCCGAATAAAATTGTAATTCAAAAGGAACACTCTGCTTATACGATCTATCTGACGTCATTTTCATAAATATCTTAACTGTTGGAGAATAATATTTTCAAACTCGTTCCACGAGACTAATCTAGCGATCGGTTGCTTAATCGCCCGGACTCACTTTGTATGTTTTAAATGGTTATTACAACTCTGAGGGAGGTAAATGAATCCAAATTAAACATATTTATGTCTTCCTAATTGTCGTAAACGCTTCTAAAGTGTCAATTAAGTCTCTACGAGGGCCGCTGTAATCCGCCTGTTGAAGAATAATGTCGTGTTACGTTTATTTTTCCATTAATCCATGACTAGTGAACTGTATCCATCGGATTAACGCTGTATGTTCCTGGCTTTGCGGTTCGGCAGACAGTCTCAGTACTGAATTCTGCAAGTAAATGAAATATAGAAGTTAAAGCTAACTGTTGCAGTATCAATAACCAATATAAACAACACAGCCGATTATAACCTTTACCTATGTTATTACTCGTAGATTATCGCACTATTCCCCAACGTTTTCCTATATTCTAGGTGAGATTTCGACACTATCTCCCCAAGTTCATACATAGCCAAACTCAGACAAATTTTTCATAAAAGATTAACGCCAGATGGGACTTTATCAAATACAAGAAACAGCGGTGTGCATTTTGTGTTTTCAATACGTTTGCTTTAACCTCTTCATTACCTGGGCGACCATGCTTGGTCTGAGTGTATTTCACTTGTTTCCATTGAATTTAGTCCTCTGAAGAAGGTGCTGGGCGAAAAGGAAATACAATATTCATCGAAATTACACAAATCATATTTCAAAATATGAATGATTGGAATAATCATTTCTGCATTACTAAATTACATGAATCACATATTGTATAATAATAAACCCCTTTGGTCTTTAATGGGTTAAGCAATGTTAACCATTGGAACCTGTGATTTATAATGATGTGAAATGTAAACGAAGTGCATACTCCATTTGAGTTGGATTGCCTGCTCGCGCGTTAATTAGCTTTTTATTACACCATAACTCCAAATTCCTCTTAAATCTAAATCTATATTTGATTTTATGATTTTCATCGCTATCCAAGTGAAGCCCGATGCTTTTTATAAAAATAAATTGCGATGTTTAATAAAGCGAATTCAAGATACCTTCTAATTTACAATGTCTTTTGATCCCAGATCCTGAAATTAATTCTATACTTTTCCTTCAAAGATTCAATAAAAATTTGATCCGTCAATTTCAATGAGATAACCTGAAAGATGAAAAAGTTATTCTGTAATCAACGCAATAAAACTAGCTGACCCTTTTATTAAGTAAATGATGGATTGAAACCGTTACAATTGAAACTATGTAATGATTCAGACAATGTTTTTGAAGTGTAATAAATCTGTTAGACTCTCTGCAGTAACAACTGGCATGGCTAAGGGATGATTCTGCCTAATAGGGCGTGCAAAATACAGTTAATCAAATTTCCCTAATGATGATACGGTAGTAGAGGAACAACACTCACTATTCACTACTCTTAAAAGACAGATGTACATGTAGAACTAGCTGACAGGAGTCCTTTGGCCTTCGATTTCATTATGTGGAAAAAAAGTGATGGCCATTCTCAGAATCGCAGGGCTTCAGGTCATCCATTCGGACAAAAGGAGGGAAGAGAGTGAATGATGTCTACAGCCTTGCTTGAGAATGTTGACGACAAGCGGAGGGTGACCAATCGAATCATGAACCAGAACACATAGTACCTCAAGCTCGGTCTAGATGTCTCAAACTCCTAAGATCATCCTTTCTAATCCAAGGGTATTTTAATTATTTTCATAAGCCTATAAATGTCCCGGGGCCTTATCGAGCATTTAATACTTATTGTATGTGCAATATTTGGAAACCCAATAGATAAAAGCACAAAAATAGAACTTGAAATAATGAAACCGGGGTTACTTCTAACTATAATCATAGGCTTAGCCGGGGGGGGGGGGTGAGGGGTGCGAACGCATCCCCCCATAACCAGCAATGAAAATACGATTAGATAGAAAATAGCATAGCTTTAAAATACTTTTCATTTGAAGCTTCTAGCTCAATTTTGAAGGAAGTTGCATCATTTTCAAAACAAATCTTTTTTTGGCTTGTTTATGCCACGATCGCATCCCCTGAGTGAAAACCGAAACATTTTTAGCGATCGCACCCCCCTCCCTCCCCCTGACTGAAAGCTGGCTATTGTACATCATAATTCAGCGTGCATTATTGAATATATGTTGAATGTGTTATACATTGGTATCTGCAACGTGTAGCGTATCATACATACAGTACCATACGCATGTATTTGAAGAGTATTGTTCCAGAGCCAACAAAAGATACTCCAGTTTTAATGCCAACATCAGTAGAAACAAGATTGTAAACAGAAATTATAGTCCAAATGCGATATGTCCTTGGTCCCGAACTATTGGGTCATTTTTAACAAGTTCCTGGGTGTTATCAGTTATTGTCCCTGGGAAGATTTATGATGAGTCGTAAGAATATAGAAGAGGCATAATCTTTCGACATCGCATAAATACAAGTCTTGCTATCTAAACAAATAAATAGTATCACAATCAAAGGTTCAGATCACATTATTGTTGAAAATTCTTATATTGTATTATCTTTTAGGCATTTCTTTCCAATTTATTCATATAACCGGATAAAGAAGCTTAGTCTGAAAGTCGCCAATGTTTGAACCTAATAGTAAAACTACCTACTTACCAGGAGAGAAGCAACAGCATTTAAGATTATTTCACAATTCTATATTCTGATTCCCATTTCCATTAATTTTATCAGATGATATTGTAATCCGTATTCACTCTCCATTGAAGTAACTCCGTATCATCTCTGCGAAGCGTTCACTCGTAGAGAACCTTTTATTCATCTAGACAGTTTCTCTCTATATTGATTTAGGCTTCCCATTTAGTTTTATATGCCTATTATCACTTCCAATTCTAATTGGTTCTCTATATTAAAATCAAAAGACAAACCAGATCTTCGCCTCTGTATGCTGGTGAATGTAAATACGCTATGCCGAACTGGAGTGCCATTTCAAGATTATCAAGTTCTTGGGATATTTTCTTATATCATTACTTATTATCCACGTTTTTTCATAGTTTGGTTGCATGATAACCACATCTTTCATATTTAGTGCTTTAAAAAGATAGAATAGTCGAGTCTATCTTTATGCATGTTATGTTGGAAGTTTAATGTTATATACTGAATTTCAGAATTGGGTCTTGAACACGCGGTGTTTACTTATCTTGAAAAAGTTAGGCTATGATATATAATGTTGATGATGACACTTTCATTGCCAAGTACGGCTTGAGTAACGGATCACATTGCCTTTCCTTTTTGGGCATTACTTTGCATTTTTGGGTCTTATTTTTAATATTAAGTCAAATGATCAAAAATGGGCCATAATTATTCACAATTTAGGCTCAATTAGGGCGGAAATGTTGGAGCAACTAATACCTTGAGAATCAAGATGTGTAGCAACCACAACTCCCCAGTGCACATCGTGACATCTAATCGTGTTATTTCATGTCCATGTGTTCATGTTGGAATCTTTATACTATATGCCTTCGATGAATCTTTGAAAATCGCCAAACATAAACAGATTTGTAAGAGCTTGAAATCTCAAAAGGAAATTCGTTTTGCCAAACGGGGTGGGGGGGGGTTGCATATTGGATATACGAATTCATTTATGGCTGATTACATCATCAAGTCATCTTTAGAGAGAGAGAATAAGACTCGATTTGCTGCAACATGCAGTAGTCACCAGGGTACTATATAAGACATTATTAGATGCAACATGCAGAAGTCACCAGGGTACTATATAAGACATTATCAGATGTAACATGCAGAAGTCACCGGGGTACTATATAATACATTATCAGCTGAAATATGCAGTAGTCACCAGGGTACTATATAAGACATTATTAGATGCAATATGCAGTAGTCACCAGGGTACTATATAAGACATTATTAGATGCAACATGCAGAAGTCACCATGGTACAATATAAAACATTATCAGATGCAACATGCAGAAGTCACCATGGTACAATATAAAACATTATCAGCTGCAATATACAGAAGTCACCGGGGTACTATATGAGATATTATCAGATGCAAAATTCAGAAGTCACCGGGGTACTATATAAGACATTATTAGATGCAATATGCAGTAATCACCGGGGTACTATATAAGACACTATCAGATGCAATATGCAGTAGTCACCGGGGAACTATATATGACATTATCAGATGCAACATGCAGAAGTCACCATGGTACAATATAAAACATTATCAGATGCAATATGCAGAAGTCACCGGGGTACTACATGTATATACGTCATTATCAGATGCAATATGCAGTTATCACCGGGGTACTATATAAGACACTATCAGATGCAATATGCAGTAGTCACCGGGGAACTATATATGACATTATCAGATGCAATATGCAGTAGTCACTGGGGTACTATATAAGACATTATCAGATGCAATATGCAGAAGTCACCGGGGTACTATATGAGACATTATCAGATGCAATATGCAGAAGTCACCGGGGTACTATATAAGACATTATTAGATGCAATATGCAGTAATCACCGGGGTACTATATAAGACACTATCAGATGCAATATGCAGTAGTCACCGGGGAACTATATATGACATTATCAGATGCAAAATACAGTAGTCACCGGAGCACTATATAAGTCATTATCAGATACAATATGCAGAAGGCACCAGAGTACTATATAAGACATTATCAGATGCAATATACAGTAGTCACCGGGGTAATATATAAGACATTATCAGATGCAATATGCATTAGGCACCAGAGTACTATATAAGACATCATCAGATGCAATATGCAGTAGTCACCGGGGTACTATATAAGACATTATCAGATGCAATTATGCAGAAGTCACCGGGGTACTATATAAGACATTATCAGATGCAATATGCAGTAGTCACCGGGGTACTACATGACATTATCAGATACAATTATGCAGAAGTCACCGGGGTACTATATTAGACATTATCAGATGCAATTATGCAGTAGTCACCGGGGTACTACATGACATTATCAGATGCAATATGCAGTAATCACCGGGGTACTATATAAGACATTACCAAATGCAACATTGTTTGGAATAATATACACCATCAGTTATGAACATGCAGTCAGTTTATACGTATATAGTAGTTATAGTATGGTTTATAGCCCCCCATTGACCATCTGGATCAATGGCTTATCTCAAATTTAGAAAGAATTAGTACAGATGTCCCTGTTTATGTGACGGCGCCTGTTGTTCAATTTGGCTCGATGTTAGCATGGGCAAGGATTCATTTTAATTAAGAATGTACAATTATAGTGTCTCTCATATGTCAAGATGTCTGCAAAAGATGCACGCGGCCAGTCCCTAGTTTGATGGCCGAGATGCACCAAAACGGTTTTTTCTCAGCCAATACTCAACACATGTCCAAAATGTTTAAACTGTTCCATAGTTTTTCCTAAGATGTTAATTTTGTAAAATTGTTATCTATTCAGTATTCTAGGTCCTAGACTATATTTTGTCTCCCCCATGTTTCGAATATTTCATTTCTCCAAATTTTCGATCTCCAGACCAAGATAAAAATAAAAGGTCGATCCTACATACATCTATCACATTCATTACCCTTTCCTGGCTAACAGAATATTTTATGTTGTTTTTATTGAAAAAGTAAAATGAGTAAAAACACCAAAACATCTCCACCTATGTTACTTTGACCTACTTTTGAGCTTACCTTTTCCCCCTATACATTAGTATTATAAAAAATATGTTATCCACATTAATAAACCGAATCCTGAATCCCTCCATGATATTATCAACACTTTCAATTGATTACTCACATCGTAACCATGTATTAAAAAACAAGTAAGTGGCTAATAAAATGCCTACTTTGTCCAGTCAGAAATATAAAAAGTATAGTCATTGACCCAGGATAATAATTTTAAATTTTACTGCTTTTAAACAACTTTGTAAGCGCCCTTTTTTCTTCGAAACATCTTACCCAAAAGCCACAGAAACGTAGCCCTATGTATAAATTGTACAACGCCATAATATACTCACTGACATTATGATTTTCGTACATCAATTCCTAATAAAGTCGCTCCAATAATGCAAATGTTTGTGACCATTACTAGGAGTCTAAAATAAGTCCATATCAAAGTCTACCTTATCAGGAATTGCATACTTCCGCGGCCATAGAATTGCTGAAACCTGACTGGGCCTGGTTGTTTAGGTCCAATAAAAGATAAGGTGATGTTCTATGGTCCACGTGTTGTTATCCTCTCTAACAAGAGTTCTAATCCACATGTTTACAGCCCCTACTTCTCCAGATATGTACCTTTATGGTTTTACAGTAGTTTATGGGGGACTAAATCGTATAGTTTAGCACACTTCAAGACGTAAACGTTCCCTCAAGGGTTTCAACTATGAAGAAGTGTATGTTTTCCTATTACCATATCAGTGTAAAGCTTTCAAAACATCTTCCAATATACGAGAATTGAAACTTAATGATAACATTTTTGAAAGTCATTACGAGGCAGTTTACATCGCATACAAGGTTATGTTTGGAATATATTAAATGATGTACAGTTGAGTGTAGGTTTTATGTCCACAAAATTAGATTCTAACGTACTCTGCGGCAACAATGTCAACAATGAATCAATTAAATACTTTGTCTACATAATAAAAAACGGAAATGTAAAGGTCTCCTTGGCCCAACTGGTACAACTGCAACGTACACATTGGGGCTCACTGACGGATCTGCCCCCTATGATGGGCGAAAACCGCAAACATTCTTATAGCATGAAAAGATTACTGGACCATTTTGGGGCCTTGTTTTTATTTCTGCCCAAATTATCAAGAAAATGGGCCTTATATTATCAAAATTTGGGACATTTTGGTTTTTCTGATTTGAAATGTGCTCCCTTGCTTTGGGCATCAGGGGTGGGGGAGTGAAGGGGGTATATGGGCATGGGACCTGATATACATTTTGGTGTCAGGGGTTGGAAAATGAAGGGGGTATATGGGCATGGGGCTTGATATAAATGAAAGGGGTAAATGGAATGAAGGGGATATACGGGCATGGGACCTGATATCCATTTGGGCATCAGGGATGGGGGAATGAAGGGGTATATGGACATGGGACCTGATATACATTTTGGTGTCAGGGGTCGGAAAATGAAGGGGGTATATGGGCATGGGGCTTGATATAAATGAAGGGGATAAATGGAATGAAGGGGATATACGGGCATGGGACCTGATATACATTTCGGCATCAGGGGTGGGTGAATGAAGGGATATATGGGCATGGGACCTGATATACATTTGGGCATCAGGGGCGGGGGAATGAAGGGGTCTATGGGCATGGGACTTGATATTCATGAAGGGGGTAAATGGAATGAAGGGGATATACGGGCATGGGACCTGATATCCATTTTGGCATCAGGGATGGGGGAATGAAGGGGTATATGGACATGGGACCTGATATACATTTGGGCATCAGTGGTGGGGGAGTGAAGGGGGTATATGGGCATGGGATCTGATATACATTTTGGTATCATATGTGGAGGGGTGAAGGGGGTATATGGACATGGGACCTGACATACGTTTTGGTGTCAGGGGTCGTGGAATGATGGGGGTATATGGGCATGAGACCCGATATACATTTGCGTATCAGGGGTGGGTGAGTGAAGGTGGTATATGGATATTGGACCTGATATACATTTAGGTATCAGGAGTGGGAGAGTAAATGGGGGGGGGGGTATATGGGCATGGGACCTGATATACGTTTTGGTATCAGGGGTGGGTGAGTCAATGGAATTGGTATGGGTATGGTATTGGTATTGGTATGGGGATCAGATTTACATAATCGACGTTTGAACTATTAAGGTTACTCTGAGTCAAATTTAGGAAAGCCCAGGTCGTCTAAAGAGCATGCTCTTTGAATTATAAAGTTGAAACTATGGCTGATCGAAACAACTAGTTGTAGATAATTTATAATTATTAATCGAAAGTAAACCGTAAAAGTAAGTTACCTTTGGCCTAAGTCTCCTCCATTCATGATAATACTAAACATTATTTCAACACAATGTCTGCCTTTATCGGCCAGGAACAATCCTTTGGTGTCTACGGGGCCAGTTAATCATCACCACTATGCAAGGGTCGTGCCACATGGTTTTGATTGGGAACAAGTGGAATCAATATATGCTTCACTCACACAAGTTATGTATATATTTTCATTTAAGGAGGCAAGCTACCCAAAAACTATTTCACTAAATCCCCCTTCTGGGAAAAATTGTATGTCCCTTAAGGCCCAAACCCTTATATACACGGTGTTATAGCATGACGGTTACGTCAAGGCGATTTGCAAAATTTTGCGGTAACGATAACAAAAAATGGCGGATGGGAAAGACAGCATGTCCTCTTTCTCGCCTGTAGTCAAGATGGTATGGTATGTGGCCATGGTATATGGAATATAAGCTGTAAACTTACCCACTGAGATGTCCAAGTTCACTTTTTTTAGTCCATTCTCGTGATTTCTCAGTGTGCCGCAGAGCCACTCAAACTATTAACAGTAAGTAAAATGTGTATAAACAAGCCATAAAATGACAAATCCAGAACAGGAACGTGGTCATATTGCAAATAATAAGGTTTCAAACGCAATGTCGTTAGACGACTACGTATGAATTCTATGGACGGTAACGTATTGTATTAGATATACATTAGATATTTAGCGGACGGTTACGTGCATGTACATCTTTCAAGTCAAGGTTGCTAGTTCTGATAGCCTCTTTCCATGTAATTGTTATAATGGGTAAGAAACGAAATATTGAATCGCTTATATTTGTTTTCAGGACTCGCAAGAGACGCTCTTGTTTGAGCCTCTATAGGGCACGGAAAAAATTGTGTCTTGCTTTATCTATGAAACCAATTTAAGTTGGAAAAGATAGCAATGAAGAGGCAATGAAGAATTAGCATCAAGTACTGATGAATATGACAAAATTAATCATAATGAATCTGGGATACATATTTGAACGAGGTTCGCGTAACCGTCCATCAATTTTTTGCGTAACCGCAAATTAAAAATACAATATTATGGCTTAAGTAAAACATATTAGGTGGTTTCCAATGCTCAATTGGCTTTTTATGATCGTATGTAGGTTACATCTATATACCCCGAGGTCGTTAGGCAATGTAGACCATGCCCTAACGACAAAAATAAACAAATTACTAAATTTTGTGTAGTTTTGAATTTCAAACTCAACAGTTTTTCGCTTATTTCATATTATCCCCGGGCATCAATTTGCAAAGAATACGTTCAAAATATACATTACTAAATGCATCACTGTATGCGATGCCTACAAAAATCGTTCATCCTTTCATTCATACACAGTAGAAGAAAATAATGCACCAACCTTAGTTTTCTGTTCCATCGCGGCCATTTTATTGGATAAATCAGTGATCGTAGTCATCTAATCTCGTTTTCAGAGGTGTCGTAACCGACATGCTATAACACCGTGAAATATGTGGGCCACATACAAAACACAATTCTCTAAGTTCGAAATGTAAAATTGGCCCCGCCCATGTTTCCTTCTTCATGAGGCTGGTCCCTTACTGCCATCTAGGAATATAAATACTTGTATAGTTTATTAACTTAAATCTCTGATTTATATCATTGGTTTAATTGGTTCTGCAATTTAATGTAAGTGGGATTGTAATTTTCGATACCTATGAAACATGAACTTTCTTATTCTAAGACTAATACATATACAACTTAGCTTTTATTTCTGGAATTCTGACATTTATTTAACAAATGATGTTAAAATAAAAGTTAATTGATGCCAGTATGTCTCGTATACTACATTTATTACATTTTACCCACACATTACCCAAGTGCAATTTTCCATTTTTCATGCTAAACAACAGTGGGCAATATTTGCATGGCAATAGATGCATTAATCTCACAAATCAGGTACTGTGTTGTTTTGTATCATAACGTATCGTATCGTAAGTTATTGTATTGTATTGTATCGTATCGTATTGTATCGTATCGTATCGTATCGTAACGTAACGTAACGTATCGTAGTGTATGTATCGTAACGCATCGTATTGTGTTGTATTGTATCGTTTTGCATCGTATTCAGAGATATAGATTTTCATTAGGAAATACCTCCTAAAGAAAGCAAAAGTGATGTAGGCTTCTTGAAAAAATTGATATAATTTCACTTTCGGTTTTTGAAAGTGACGATATCTCCTTATGAAACCTGCACCATTGTTTTCTACGGTCTTTTTATAACAAATTAACTTTATTCTTTATCATAATTGAGCCTCGTGATACTGAATAAACAGCAAAATTTTGAAAAACGTACTCGTTCCACTAGTATTGAGATGACATACCGTCCTGATTGGTCCAAATCGGTAAATAAATATGGCGGTTCAAAATTTTCAAATTTTCTAATATCGCTTCGAATGATATTATTTCAATCTCTGGCATGTTAACCAATATCATAGCTTGTTACTTCACATCAAGATAAGGAAAAATGTAAGGGATATGTTAACATCGATTAAAACATCACAACGACATGTTATATGCAAAAACTAACTGGTGAACATTTGTGCAAACGAAGGTGGTACGCAATAGGCGCAATTCCCTCCGCGCACAGGGATAGATCTCGAGGGTTACACTCTCCCGAGAAATTACGAGAGGCAGTATGAGAGGAACAACGATCAATATTTCAAACTGTCTAGCAATCTTCGAAGACTTGACAATACTGCAATCCTTTTGTGGTATGTTTCCATTGTCACTAAAGCCTTGAACCCTGTTAATCGTAAATCTGTATTGATTAGTTTCGTCTCAACTGTTTTTTGATGTAATTTGCAAATTATAAACCCGAAAGATTTTTTTTTCAAAAAGTTTTCCACACTTGGCGCTATCTATAAGAGGTATTTCCCAAGAAAATTCTGCCATCTGTGATCGTATTGTATCGTATCGTATCGTCGTAACGTATCGTATTGCATCACAAGTTGCATCGTGTCGTAACCGTATTGCATATTATATTCTTAATATAAATGATACAAAAACTGAAGTTATATATATGATCGGGCTCCTGCTATCTTCAAGGGTGGTCTTGAATAGCCGAACCTTTCAGAAAACCGCAGATATAAACCTTCAGATAGAATTAGCGCATGCTGTATGTCTCTTTGACCTTCATTTGGTGATTTCAAT